ATGGTTTGCAGCTATACTCAAAATTCGCTTTACCCTCTTTTATTAACCTGACAGTATTGCGTTATTAAATACAAAATTTCATTATAATCTATATATAACAGAAAGTTGTATTATAGGTGCGCTACTTCGTGGTGAGAACCGTCTGGTACTAGGCGACTTTAACACGCATCATGATCTTTGGCATTCCTGCCTGTCAAATGATGGTAGGGGAATGGAGCTGGCGGAACAGATTGACGATTCGACATTCTGCACAATGAATGACGAAGCCCCCACCAGAATTGTGGGAACCAGGTATTACTACTGCTAGCGGTGGTCTGACAAATAGCATAACCGCATCAGACCATCTTCCCATAATTATCTCGATCGAGAAGCCTCCCGATTTCGTTTCTCTGGACAACCGTACCTACATTAACTTTAAAAAAGCTAATTGGGTCGGCTTCACAGAATTTAGCGAGAGCACCTTAAACGCTCTACCTATTCCTACGATTCCGCAAGGTGATAGCAGCAGCTACCGCTCGCTTCATCCCGGCTGGAAGAATACCGGAAATCCACCCCAATTTCCCAGCCGAAGCAGCCGTCTATTTTAGCTGGCAGTTTACACAGCACCCTTCGGTAGACAAAGCAAAGAGATGTGTTAACCGACGGCTGACGGATGAAGACGTTCAGAGTGTCAAAAAAGTAAAATCTTCCAAATCCATTGGCCYTGATGGAATCAACATGCTAATGCTAAGGCATCTAGGCTCAACGAGGGTTATTTACCTCACCAAGGTCCTCAACCTGTCACTGACCACTCTTCAAATACCCCATGTGTGGAAAATCAGAAGAGTGGTCCCACTACTGAAACCTGGGAAACCCGCCAACAAAGGGGAATCTTATCGCCCGATAACTCTCCTCTCCCCAGTAGTGMAGACACTTGAGGCCTTGCTACTCCCGACTTTCACTCACCACCTGAACCTAGCCAGTCAACAGCATGGATTCCGAAAAATGCACAGCACCACCACAGCACTTAGCGTCATAAATTCTCAGATAGTTCGTGGCCTTAACCAGAAATCACCCTGTGAGAGAACGATCCTCGTAGCGTTGAACTTGTTAAAAGCTTTTGACACAGTCAACCACACAACGCTACTGCAGGACATCGAAAAACTACGCTTCCTCCAAGGCTAAAGAGGTGGACCATGAATTATCTGAACGGTCGTCAGCCATCCGTACAATTTCGAGGAGAAACATCCAAACTGAGAAGAATTAAAGAGGGGGTTCCGCAGGATGGTGTCCTTTCCCCGCTACTGTTTAACTTCTACATTTCGAAACTCCCGCAACCACCAGAGGGGKTTTCCATAACCTCGTACGCTGATGACTGTACGATATTGACGTCGGGCAATGGAATCGATGGCATGTGCTCGAAGTAAACAACTACCTCTCCGACCTTTCTCGTTTTCTCACTGCACGAAACCTTACACTTTCCCGCACCAAATCCACAGCGACCATATTCACGAACTGGACGAAGAAGTACAGACTTGGACTTAATATTGCAGTCGAATGAGTCAAAATTCCGACTGTCAATAACCCTAAGATTTTAGGCGTAACTCTCGATAGTCCTTCTCTCCTCATACGACCGCGATTATAGCCAAAGTACAGAGCCGCAGCAAGATCCTGCCGCACATGGGAAAAGACAAAGAAACGTTGTTGGCAACCTACAAGGCAATCGGCCGACCGGTGCTTAAATACGCAGCACCAATATGGTCGCCTGGATACGGTGGAACGCAGATGAGGAAACTTCAGACCTGCCGGAATACTGCACCCCGGACAACGAAGGGATGCCTTTTGATGTCTCCCATTGAACACCTCCACAACTAGACGCTTATGCATAATAAACTCCTCTCCAAACAGTTCCTGCTAGGATGTTTCCGAAGGAGCGGAACCGCCTCCCAAGAGCATCAAAAGGTCCTTCCTTGACTAAATCGACAACGTGGTACAGTACGCCGAACGGGCTTCGGACGCAACTGACTTTCGACAGGTACAGACCGCCATTCAGAGTGGAGCCATCAACATCTTCACCGACTCCTTTCCTGTGAGTGGCGTTCTGGGAACCAGGTGGTTCCAACCACCACCTATTGCAGACGAAGAGCTCCAGTTGACGCGAGAAACGCGAGTGACCCTAGCGCAAATTCATTCTGGATATTGTAGCAGGTTAAACTCCTACTTATCCAGAATTGACCCAGACATACCCAATGTATCTCCTGCATGCAAAGAGCCCTCGCATGATACTGGCCACCTCTTTGCATGCGCTACAAACCCTACTCATCTAACACCCTCTTCCCTTTGGTCCGACCCCGTCGAAACAGCACGTTTCCTGGGCCTCCCGTTAGATGATCCCGACGACAATGCAAATGACCCTTACGGTAGATAACCGTTAAAACAACAACAAAAACAACAAAATTGGTGGGGAAGTAACTTAGAACAAGGATAAGGACATAGAATACCTTTTATCTCTTTATGTTAAAATTTAATATAACTCATAAATACAAAAATTACATTTCAAACAATAAGCATTTGTTTAAAATTCATGTTTGTATGAATTTTTAACAGGTTCTTCCTCGGATAGTAGAAAAGAACTGCAACCAAAACCAATCCCAAAAGATTGATGTCTTGGTCTCTCCACGTCTGAAAACGGGTTCAACATATGCTGTTCACTAGAACGACTGTCGATTGGACTCCAGTGGGAAATGATGGAGCTATATTTCTATTGTCACACACTGACGCAAGAATTCTGTTTTAAAGCACTCAAACACTTTTCAGAATCAGTTATTCGTTGTTTTTGTTGGATTATGAACTTGCGAGGCACCCACTTTGCAGAGAGCTTTCGCCTCTTTAGAGTATCATGTCCTCGGTGCTTGCTTCGCCTGTTTCCTGCTGAGCAAATATCTTTTCAACGGTGGATTTCCCTGAGTCCAAATTCAACAGTGTTTTCCCCCAAAAAGTAATACTATATTAACGCTCGACATGCTCTAATATTTATTTTTTTGTAAACTAACGGAAGCTACATCAAAATGCTATATCTCATTAACTCATTATAATCCAACTAATAGATATCATATAGCTGGTAGTAGTATTATCTATGTATCAGCCACAGTGAAGCGTGGACGGTTCCTCTAGTATATTAATAAAATTGCTGCCACCGCAAATACACGTAGCAACTAATTTGCTACGCCTCACTGCACGAAAATTAAGTAGTATTTTTGTGTAGCATATTTTGCAGCAATTGCATATTTTTTCGTGTGCTTTGTTTGCTATTGCACGGATGCGAAACCCTCTATAGTGTGTTCGACAAAATACATACATATGTATATTATTTACTAAATTTATTCAAACAAAATTTTTACTGCTTATTATCACGATATATGATGCACAAATACAAGTAAAATCTAATTCTTCGACAAACATAGAGGCAAAAAAATATACATTAATACTAGACTCTATGATAAATTTATTTATTAATAAGTATTTATTCCTGATCTTCTTGTACTAAATCAACGCTTTTTGAACTAATCTCAATTAATGTCGTACCATGTGACTTCACATGGCCACTAAGTCCAGCAYACTGTGCAAAACGTTTACCACATATTTTACATGCATATTTCTTTTCGGAAGAATGGATGAGCATGTGTTGACGTAGATGTTTATTACTGGTAAATCCTTTTTTACATATACTGCATAATTTGTCTCGCACTTCGGAATGCACATGCATGTGTTCTGTCAACAAAGATCTCATATAGAATGTTTTATTACAAATTTCACATTGATACAGAGGTTTTTTATCGTGGCGTAATTTATGCGGCCTCAATTCAGCTAATGATCGATATTTTTTGCCACAAATTTCACAAACATATGGTTTTTCCCCAGTATGACATCGCATGTGAGTCCTCAATTCAGTTGTTGTTGCACAGGGTTTGTCGCACACTTCACACTTATACAAGTAGTCTTGAGCATGCCTACGTAAATGTACCGTTAAATTGGTCACCAACTTAAAACCATGACCACAAATGTGACACTTAAATGGCAACGAACCATCATGTGATGCCAAATGCACCTTGTATTGTTGTGTGCCACTTAATAACTTCTCACATATTGGACATTCGTAAGGCGAAACGTCAGTCTCAAGAAATGCGATGTGGCTGTAAAATGTGCACGATGGCTTATAAATCTTATTTTGTCGTTTACACACAAATTTTTCTCTTTTCTCATTAGAAGAAAGTTTTCGAAGTCTTGAAATTTCGCATTCCATATCATATTTTGTGAGGTTTAATCCAGTTTGCTTATTAAAATCTTTGAGTAGCATTTGTAAAGCTTCTCGCCTTCTATTGCTAAATCTGTATGTAATTTCTGTTTCATCCCAAAGAGTGGGCAGACTGTTATAAATTTTAGCTAAAACTATAGTTTGTTTATCATTTAAAATGGTTTCTGGAGTTGTGAATTTCCTCAGTAACGGTTTTGGTTTTACCTGTAATAAAATAGTGAACGATTTTGTTTTAGAAAGCTAGTTACGTAAAACAAAAGTATTTTTGTGAACTAGAACTCACATCTCATTAAGAACTAATCAACTGTATGGCATAATGAACAGGGAAGGGAACGGACAGCTTTGAGTTTCCTATCTTCCGATAATTTAATTAATAATGGTGACCGCTGAAATTTATTTGCAACAATTTGTCAACCGGAAGCTGCCTAATATTTTCCATAATTGCTAATATTATGGAGTGGATGTTATTTAGTTTTAAATAACATAATTCGAACCAAAAAGCGTTCGGAATTGAACAGATTACTAAAAAATTACAAGCAATACGATTAATGGGCGTGTTGTGTCGATACGCACTAAACAGCTAATTATATTCCATTTTAACGAGTTACCACAATATTTGGTTGTACATTGTATGTGTCATCTGCTTAAAACTAAATATTATAAGACGATACCATTTCTTCGATATTTGAGTTAAGGATTTTATATGGGTTTCTTATTGTCTTAAGCATAAAGAGCATTGTTATAGCAGTTTGAATATCCTTTGGGTAAGTCTATTAATCTTGTGATGTTAGTGTTCAACTTCGTTGCGATTGTGTATTATAAAAAAAATCAGTACTCTTTGGAGGATTGTTTTAGAACTTTATCATCACAACTTTGAGAAATATTTTATGAATGGTGATTTTGAAATAAAAAACTAGAACAGAAATTATTTTCAGTTACACCAAAGCTCTAGCCTTCCAAATAAAAGAGTTTCCATACAGGAATTTGATTTTGATCTATCATTTTGTATTGCAGCTATGTGCTATAGTGGTCCGATCCAAATCACATATTCGGAGATAGTGCTTTGAAAATAATTCATGTCAAAATATAATAAATAAAAAAATGGATTTAAAATAGCAGATAACAACAATGCATAACAAAATTTATTCATAACAATAAAAAACGTTAGCTTCGACTGCACCGAAGGTAATATACCCTTTACAGGTGCATTTATTTTAATAACTATGTGTTTAAAGTCTCCAATGCAAGCATTTGACTCCGATCGTTCAGTTTGTACGGAAGCTATATGCTATAGTAATCCGATCTGAACAATTTTTCCGGAAACAATATTATCACGCAGCAGTAATTCTTGTCAAATTTCGAGAAGATACCACGTCAAATGCGAAAGTTTTCCATACAAGCCCTTGATTGTGATCGTTCGGTTTGTATGGCACCTATACGCTATAGTGAGCCGATCTCAACAATTTCTTCAGATATTAAATTATTTTTATCAACAATAACTCATACAAAATTTCGTGAAGATATATCGTCAAATTAAGAAGTTTCCCAACCAATGCGATCCTTCAGTTTGTATGGCAGCTACATGATATAGTTAACCGATCAGAACCATTTCTTCGGATATTCTACTGTTACCTTAGAAAATAATATAACCAAATTTCGTGAATATATCTTGTCAAATGCAAAATTTTTCTATACAAAGACTTGATTCCGATCGTTCACTTTGTATGCCACCTATATGTTATAGTGGCCCGATATCGGCAGTTCCGACAAATGAGCAGCTTCTTGAAGAGAAAATGACGTTTGCAAAATTTCAAAACGATGTCTTAAAATCTGAGGGACTAGTTTGTATATATACAGACAGACGGACATATACTTTATAGGGTCTCCGACGCTTCCTTCTTGGTGTTACAAACTACTTGGCAAACTTAATATACCCTGTTCAGGGTATAAAAATACATAGGTTTGAAATTTAAGTTTGATATGCCATAGCTTGAAAAATAACATTACAACTCTTAAAATAATATGTGTCAAATATTTTTGGATTTATAGCCTCATAAAATCTAGCAGCCCAGGTAAATGAATTTTTTCTTTTAATTTTAAATCAGCTGTTTGACCACTAAAATCTTGTATGATCCGCCTTGGCAAAATATTGTTTATTCAATGTGAATTGTATAATAACAACTATACCAACAAGTCAAATGTTCCAATATTGGTTTTATGAAAAATTAAGTTATAAAAGTATTGTTACAAAAGTATTATTAAGTTTGGTACCACTTGTATCTGTATTGCTATATGCATACCTTATTATAAACATTGGGCGCCGCGGTTGTCTGTTTGTCTACTTGTAGCATAAACATTAACTGTATATGGAACGTATAGCATTATGTTCTTATAATTGCCAGACGCATTGTTCTAGACGTACACGTCGGCATCAGCGAGGAGTGCGTGGCTATATAAGGCACGTAAAAAAGGGAGTGCTAAGAGTAAACTGCTATAGTGTAGACGAATTTTGAAATAAAGAGCTTTTCTTAAAGTGAATTAACGGTTTTTCTAATAGTTTTTCTGCTTTTAGTTTTTCATTTCCATGCACCTCGTTCAGCAAATTGTTTACGAGTGTAGGACTTATCTGCTGTGGCTCAATAATAGGCTTCTGTTGTGACCATTCGCATCGTGATATTACACTTATATTCTGGCACTGTCCAATTACTGCTCCTTTCTTCAGACTTATAGGCGTGTTGAATTCATTCACTACTCTGACCGTCTTCTCTTGTTTTCACAAGTGTTCTTCCTAGCAATATGGGTGTATCTATGTTTGTTGGTTCCACAATCCATTATAATTTCATCCGTGATTTCTGCTACGATGAAGGTGTGATTAACTACCAGCGTACCAATCATCACTTCGCAAAACACTTTTCCCGCAACAGCTGCTTCCTCCCCGGTGGCCATTCGAAGCTTACAACCGACTAATGGTTCAACCGTTCTTCTTACCACATCCGGTCGGATAATTGAATATGTGGCACCAGTATCCAAAGTAAGAGTTGGCAGTCTTCCATTTACGATACTGTTGATAGTAAGATTGTTGACATTTCGACCTATTTGTGATATCGAGATGGCGGGGCAAACAGTTGTGGAAACCAGTTCATGCCCCTTTGAACTGTTCCGTTTTAGTTTAACGACTTGTGAGAAGTGGATACTCTGTCTTCGTTATCTGTTGGTTGTTTCCGTTTTGATGGGTTTACTTTTATATTGCAATTTCGGGCAAAGTGACCCGCTTTTCCACAGGTAAAACATCTGCCTGTTGTATATACTCGCGGTCTTCAATATTTCTTCCATCAGCGCCGGTTGTTCCATTTCAACTCTTTGTACTTTGTGTACTGGTTTACTTAGTAAAGGTGCAGGGGCTTAGGCGCAAGGCATACTCGGAGCCCCCCAACCCGTGCGGCTGGTGCTCTTTGGCACTGACCATGCGGGGTGACGGGCGCCGCATGCGTGCGGACGCTGTAAAAGGCATTCGCATGGCTGTACTGCCTCTCAGCTACCCAGTGGAGTCGCTTACACCGGAGGAGCTCACGGTGCTCCAAGACCTCCTCATGGAGGAGGTGTTCAGA